ATATGAATTAAAAGAGTAAAATTGTTTGTTTAACTTGTTTTCATGTTGACAGGATCTTTGCACTCTAGGCAATCACTTTGTTTTTCTTACAGCTTTGCTCTTTAGCCACTCAAATGTGGAATGTCACTCAACCTTGTCATACGTTTTTCTTGATGTTCCCTATTAGTCCCTACCACACTTTTCAGCACTCTAACGAATGTGGATACCCTATTGTCAGTCAGTTGCTCTGGCTGTTTGCCATTTTAAGCTGTCTCTCCTGATGCTACGTTAAGGAAATTTCTTAGTGGACATCAACTCTACTCTGTAAGATATTAGCCAAGACTTTGAGAGAGAAGTTACCACTAGTATGATCATTTAATTAAATTACTGTAGACATCCGAAATGAAAATTACACATTTGAACTGTCGCCTATAGTTTAATTTCTACCTAGCTCTAAACTTTTTGAGGGAATTAGGAAGTGATAATCCCATTAGGGGTCTTGCTGAGCTTGATCTCTTTCTGAAAATGAGATTTAAATGGTTTTGGAATAAAATTTAGGTAATCATCCAAAATTCTGAGCTTCTTTTACACACTGAAGTGTCCCATTGAACCTTTTCAATCTCATGTCTTGCACATGCATTTTTAATATGTTTCACTCCATCTTCTACATTCATTTTAGTATGGCATTCAAATTCACATGCATTTCAGATGTTATTTTATATATATACAGAGAACTGAGATGAAATTATCAAAAAGAATGCACAAATAAGAGGATCTAATCTGACACTGAAGACATCAGAAACCAAAAGGTTTCAGGCAAATTATGTATGATATGGGAAGGCTCTGACATGATGTGGTGACCTAGATTAGGCTTATGAAAAAAGTCAGGGCAAAGTTGTGTAGAGCAAAAATTATAGGGTTACTTAGGGAAATTTTAAGCAAGTGATGCTGTTTTTTTTTTCTTGAACTTAATGGCTTCTCGTGTAAAACCTTAAAAATGGCTTGTGAAGTCATCACAACTAAAAAAGTATAAAAAACTGTTGTGTATATATAGACCCTTATGAAATTATTTAACTGTGTTTAAATCTCAGTGATGTGAGTGAGTTTTAGCAAGTACTTAAGCATTAATGTAGACTGGTTAGTAGTAGAAATGCAGAGTTCATCATTGCCTTTTCTAAAAAATGGGATCTTAAAAGGCTAGGCCCTTTCAAAACTACATAGTTGGAAAGAAATTTTCATCCTAACAAAGTTCTACTCTTTGCAGCTGCATTTTTGCTGATTCTTTGAAGTCAGAGTTACTTGATAGACAATTTGGCCTGTGGACTTTAAATAACATACTGAAAATCTCTGTTTTGGGGAGAGGCGGGTTTAAAGTTAATTATTCCCCAAAGTGACTTTTTCAAACTGACTACTAGAGCTGGCAAAAATATTGCCATTGAATAAGACTTTATTTCTGTGGATTTTTTTTTTGGTTTTTTTTTTTTTTTTGTCTGGTGTCTAAGACACTGAAAGTTATAGTACTTTTCCTGGCATATGATACAGCTCTTGGCCGCAGTGAAATACAAGTCACTGATCAGTTCGTTGCCCTGGGTTTGAGTGAGTGGTGGGGTTTTTTGGTATCAGGGGAGGGGGATATAGGGGTGGCTCCCTGTGAGAAGGTTCTTGAAGATCCTCCAGCTCCAAGTCAGCTCCACCTCTGCACCAAAACTAAGCCAATCGGCTGCGCCTCTGTGATAACATATTTAAGAAGGGACATGGTGATGAGCAGTTGGACTTGTGAGGAGGAGTTGCAGCAACTGCGTGAACACCAAGGTCAGTGGAGGAACAGAGGAAGAAAGGAGGGGGGAGGTGTGCCGGAGCAGAGACCCCCCTGTATCCTGTAGTGAGATGGCAGGGAGGCCCCCCCTGCCACCCATGAAGATCTGCGGTGGAGCAGACACTGATTTATGGCCTGTGTTTTTTGCCTGGTTGATCAAGGTGCTGTGCCCAAAGAAGACTGGGGTCTTGTGGGAAAAGGCAACCCCTGCTGCTGTAATTCAGCACTGGGAGGACTGCAGCATGCGGGGGTGTCCCACGCCAGAGCAGCTCAGGAAGGGCTGCAGCCGTGGGAGGGAATCCAGTTGGAGAGAGTTGGTGACCCACAGTGGAGCAGTGTAAGGAAATGCTGCGGCCTGTGGGAGGGACTCATGTCAGAAGAAGTTTGTGGAGGACTGTCTTCTGTGAGAGGGGGACCATGATGGAGCAGGGGGAAGAAGTTCCAGAAACTCCCCCCACCAAAGATGGCAGAAGCAGCAACACTGACTGGACCCCCCCCCATTCCCTGCCCCTGTACTGCTGGGGGAAGGAGTTAGAGATATCGGGAGCAGAGCTGAGCCCGGGAAGAAGGGAGGGGTGGGGGAAGGTGTTCTCAAGATGTGGCAATGCTTCTCACTGTCCTACTCTGTTACATGTTGTTAGTGTCTGTAATAAACGTATGTTCTTATTTTCTTCCTCTAACAAGTCTGCCTTTTGCTTGTGACCATAAAGGGTGATTTTCCCCTCCTGGTCCTATCTCAAAACCCAAGACTGGCTCTCTGTCCCTTCTCAGTGCCGAAAGAGAAGGGGGAGAGAGTGGCTGCTTGGTGTTTGGCTGCTGACCAGGCTCATACCACAATATCATCCTTTTTATTTTGACTACCTTAGCTTCTCTAGTTCAATTTTCAAATACAGATTAGAAATCTAGGTTAAGTAGGCACAATTCTTAAATAGGAATAGCTAATTATGAGATTCTGGTTTTGATCCCAGACTTTTTAAGCTCTTCAGCATTTCTGATCTGTAATTTTATCTTTGGGTGTAAACAGCATTTTTATCCTCAGGTCTGCAACTCTCTTTTCTCTACTTTAAACTAGACTCCCTCTAAACTGTAAGGCAGGTTTCACTGAACACCTGAGACCCTCCACTCTGGTCTTCTAGTTAACTAAGTGATCTTTTAATGTTTTTTCCCCAGAGTGTCAACATTTATCTCTGATAACTTGCATTTTTTCCCATTAATTTTGGTTTTAATAATTCAATAATATCATGAACCAGATCAGAATCTCTTTTTGCATTTGCCTCTTATGGCAAATTATGTCCGTGTTTTGCATTAACAGCTGCTTCTTGCTTCAAGGCAAGATACAATTTCTATGGCAAATACCACAGCTTCCTGGAAATTTTTTTACCTTTTTTTTTTTTTTTTTCTCCACTGTGCTTAAGCTAGAAATTCATATCAGTTGTTCAATATGCCCTGAAAATAAATCTCTGTAGATTTTCTTCTGGTTCATCTGAGGCACCCTCTTTTTCCCCTCAACTATCTGATCATAAAAGAATAAATTCTGCAACACGCATGGATATAGGCTTTCTCGGGGTTACTAAAACCTTAGCTTCTTTGAATTTTTGCCATTTATTTGACCTATGAAGTTATATTGGTATTTCATTTGCTTTAAAATTAAGTGGAAATTTACAAATAGATGTTTCATGTGGTTGTCTTTAATGAAGGGCAGTGGTTAAGCCTACATGTGTCAAGATGCTTTAACAGAAGTTAAATATTAATTATCTAGTCTCTAATTTAGTCTGGTGATGACATAGCCCTAAATTTAAAAGATGCACCTATTTAAATATGTATGGATCTACTGAAATATGCTTAGTGTTGTACCATAAAATAGGAACAATTAATTAAATAATTCACATCAGAAGTTTAGAGGTAACAGTTATCTATCATACTTACCTATCATAATTTTATTCGAATTATGAATGACAAGTCATAAATGTTAACTCTTGCAGGAATGGTATACTATTATTTTCTAATTATTTTTCTTTCTTTTTGCTGTCCTTATGTAGATATTTTATTTATACATTAGAAAACATGTATATTCACTTTTGGATATTGACTGAATGTTTGCATTCAATTACAACTTTTAAAAGTGAGGATTTGTCATAAAATGGTTAGTTGGTTTTTACTTCTATTTGCAGGGAGGAAAAACCACTCTATAGCTTTATTGATAGTTTCCAAAGAGGGCAACATTATTGTTTTCAAATTCAAGAAGCTGTATTTAATTAGTGCACCCATTTCTGAAAATAAGGGGAAAGTCCAATTGTCTGCAGCAGTTTTGATTCCAGTATTTATTAAAAAGTAGCAATTCTAAATTAAGAATATGTTTTGATTGTGTTTACCAACAGAAATCATGTAAACAACTTGAGGACATGAGTTTTACATTTTGTATTTGTATACCCTCAAATTTTTGTAGTTTTGAGCCCATATGGATAATACAAGGCCTGACCTGTGAGCTCTCATTTCCCAGTGAGCCTGGGTTTTCCAAATCGGGTCTAAGTTTGGTAGAAAAATGCACATTTTGTTTTTCTTGTTTGCATTCATTTGCATCATATTTGCAATTTGTAATTAATTTGGTAGTCTATTTTTTCCTGAAGTACTTCTCAGTTTATTATTATTATTATTATTTAATATAGCCTGTGGAACACTGAACACTGATTAAGTGTTGTATGCTTTCTGTTATCTCTGAAGCATAACCGATAAAGTATTGTGAATTTGGCACTGTGTAATGTAGCATTTTGCTTGCTGTGCAGCACTAACAAACAACACATCAGTAGTCATGCCTGTCTCTCATTTAAATGCAACCTCAGAGTCACACTGCATGTTACAAATATCTGGGAGCTGTGTGATTAGTTAACATCTTGTGCATAGCCCTTAAAATTATATCAAGTTCTCAGGAGATAATTAGCTTTCTGGATACCTCTACTGAAATGAACTATGGCTTAGCAATAGTAGCTATGCTGTGTTCTAAGACTGCAAGGAATGGTGGCTTTAAAAAACAGCTTACGTGTCTTCTACATTATAAATAAATAAATAAACAAAGAAACAAACAAACAAATAAATGAGATAAATAAGTCCTTATTTTTTTTTTTTTTTATTCCTTGTTATCAGGATTGCCGTTGCTTCCTATATTCTAATTTTATGTTTTTTCCTCTTTTGGCAGCTCTTCTGGTGTAAATAAAGGGTGTTCAGCAGGCACCAGCCTCCCTTACTGAAGTCTGCTCACCTCTGCCCCAGAGTTCATGTTTCGTATGCTATGTGTGAGTAAATAGACAAAATACATTACAACTGAATAATCAGGAGGATATGACATGGTATTTTTCCTTAGCAAATGCTTGAGACTTCAGTTCTTTGTGTAGATTTAGGGAAAGCAGTGTTTTCCAACTATATTCCAAATGTTTTTTGTTTCATGAAATAATTTCCCAGCCATAACCATGTGCAACTTTTTAAAGCTTTTGATCCTGCTTTGAAAAAGCTATTCTAAGCCTTCAGTGTTCACAATATTCTCTTCTAGCACTGGAAGTATCTGTATAATAACCTCAAAATTAAAATGTTTTGGAAGCTTCTAAATATAAGTTATAGCTGCAGCTGTCAGGAAACAGCATTTTGACAAAATTGAACTTTTTAAAAGAAAGTATAAGTTTTGATTAAATTTGCTTGAAAGGTGTTTTTTAATTTGAAACAATGCATTTCAGTAGGCTCGCAGCATTCTCTACATTTATTGGAGTATAATATTTTTGTTCATTTCAAAATTATTTTTCATTTTGAAGTTCACTGGTAATTATGATATAATCTACACTCAAGAACTGAAGTCTTTTTGAAACATTTGCATATTATTTCTATTGACCTTTAAATGCTTTTCTTCTCCAAAAAACTGTCTTGTAAGAAACTTCAAATTTTATTTTCAATCTATTTGGTCAAAATTTTTTCTGAGAGGCCAAAATTTTCTATGCAATTCCAGATTTAATTGATTCTCTTCATAATTTTTCTGATACATGAACAGTTGGTCTAGCTGCACTAATTGTGCAAAAATGTAAGCCTGCACATATCTTTAACTGTATTAATCAAATTGAAAAGCTCCCACCAATTAAGTGAACTTTTATGAAGTTATCTTTTCCAGTGGTCATATTGCCCATCTGATTTGATCTTCAGACTTTAATTTTCTTAACCATCATCCTTCAAAAGGAAGAAGGTTTGATTAGGTTTCTAAAGGGTGTTAGTGATGAAAAAATCAGGTATATAGAGAGGTCCAAAGATCACTGAAAGCTTAAGATATACCATTGAAGAAGGCCTGAAGACATGGCTTGTGAGTGATGAAGGGAAGGGAGAAATGACACACAATCAATTTCTTACTGAGAGAGAGAGAGAGTAATAAACAATACTCTGATGAATAGTCTACTTTTCCAAAACAAGCAAACAGAAGGGATTTGCTTATTAATATCTAGATGTTTGACTGAAGATCCTAGAGGCATTCAAAGGATCACTCTGTTGTAGCCGTTGTTTTTCCCAAGGAATACAACTTTTCAAAGTTTCCCCCCTCTCTACAAATAACCATAAAGGAGGTTACTGGAATATACCAAGAAGCAGAAGACTGAGGATTTAGGTCACTATTTCACCTTTTCACCCACTGGTGACATCTAGTTTGGTGTGAAGCCAAATATACCTCCTGATGGCAGAATCCCTGGTTAGGCAGCCAGGCTCCTTCCCCAGGGTACACAGGAAGTCAGACACCTTAGAAAGTGAAAAAAAAAAATTGAAGATGTGTGAGGCTACCTGCAGATGCAGAATTAATGAATAGACAAGGACAAGTCTCCGAACTTTACAAAGCTTCAGGAGTGCACATCTGCTGTATTCTTCTGAGGCTCAAAATTCTCTCTTATAGGTAAGGTAAGGCCTATATTTGAGGTACCTAATATGTGCTCACTCATATCTGTTAAAATACAAGAAGATGGTGAAGAGAAGCATTGTCCTGTGTGTATGTAATTCTTAAGTGAAGAAAGAGTTGTTAGTTGAAATGTGAACAGGAGACCTGCATTAGGACTGCCAAGATCCACTCACCCAGGTCCTAGATTGGTACTCTAACCACTGACTTCTTCAGAGCACTTTCAAATGCTCCTCATAAAGCTCACATGCTCTGCAGAAGACAACTGAAGATTTACTGAGTATGAACAAAAGGGAAGAGGGGATTTAACTCTGTAGCTGAACACAGGCTTGTAAAGGGGAAGATCTGGTGTCAAGCCTTTTCCCCTGAGACTGTTTCCGTGTTTTGTAGGAGAGTGGGATAGATAATCCTATTAATGGGAACTTAAATCCAGAAATCTTTCTTTGTCACTGACACTCCCATTCTGCATTTCTGTAGCCTAAACAAATTATGTATTCATCTGGTTGTTACAAAAAATTCCTTTCTCTTTACCCCTACTTTGAATTAGATCGAACCAGCTAGAATGTATTAGAGTTATTAAATCATTCCTTATAGCACTTAGAAATTTTTAATTTAAAGAATTATAAATAAATAAATACACAAACCACAAGCAGTAACATAGGAGGAGACAGAATATTTTGATGCTCTTCAGGACAGAATAGGAGCTTCCAGCTTAATAGTTTTGCAATGAAGCAAGTGAATTCTACATAAATCCCATTTTTAATGTTTAAATATCTGTTGAGTCTGAACCTGAGGGTCAGCTTTCTAAAGTTTTCTGATTCTTGCCAAAATCAGTGTGTTGACCACTTCTGCTTTTTAGAAATGTAAACATTTGCCTCTTCTGCCTTACATCCTTGTGTGTAAAAGAGGAATAAAGTAATGCCTTTTCCTTTTCAGAGAGCTAGAGGTCATTACCTGTGGTAATGGAAGGTACCTAAAATCATTTTACTCGTATTCTTCACAGATGTCAGTAGGCAAGTTCTAAGTGCCAAAATAATTCTCTACTCTCCAAGCTGGAGCTGATTTGCTAAGCTGAATGTCACACTCTCTAGTCCATTACCCTGTCCTCCATATTTTACATCTTTGTCAATGAAAAATAATGTACAGCCAGAGTATGAAATTATCTTCTGTATGAAGGGCCAACAAAAGGCCCATGCCTCACCAGCCTTACAGGAGAGAATGACACCCTAACAGACCAGTCAGTGTTAATGGTTAAAAAATGAGACATTCAGAGCCTATGTGTCAAATATATAAGGCCAAATTCTTGACTCTGACTGACAGTCTTACCTGGCTGAAGAGGTCACACAGGGCAGAAAGCTGCCTTTGGCTGAGGCAGCTAAAGATGAATTCACCTTGGAGAGATGGCAAAGTTGATAAAGAGGTTGTTTACTCAGCCTGAAGTACCTTCCACTAAGATACTGAGATATTGTGATTTTCCTTTTTTCTTTTTTTTTTTTTTTTTTTTTTTTGTTTACCATCAGGATATTCACCACTGTGCAGCATGCTCTCAAATTCTCTTTGGACTAGTAAAGCTCATTCATATAATTACTTCCATCCTAATTCTTAAGGTGCAAGAGAAAAAAAGTAATCAGTAAAAATAGCTTGATACAGATGTTCTACTGTAATACCCAAAGTGTCCTAATGATCCCTCGGGCAGCTGTTATATTTTATAGTTTAGTTTCCTTGTTGCTTGAACTGGACTTTTGGTTAGAAAATGGAGTTAGCTGGTGGTTAAGTTTTCATGGGTTTGCCTGTGTGAGATGTCATATAAGTAGACTTCCTCAGTGATTTTATAATAGGTGGCCCTTCTTCATCTGAAGTTTATTTAAATTCTGTAGTCGGTGTTACACAGAATTTGCATATGGATGAGTCAGATCTCTAATTTATGTTAAGGAAAAAAAAAGCAACTAATAGATTCACAGATTAGCAATAGCACCATGCTTTAACCTGAAACTTGAGGGAGTTTCTTTGGAATAGTTATGACAGCAACAGAGTGTCCTGTCTTGAAGCAAAACCAGTAGTGTCCCATGTAGTCTAACCTGGTCACCAACTGCTCTTCCTGAACAGCACTTCTGCTGTTGTAATGGAGATGTTGTTTTGGCCACTTGTGGAGGAGATGATTCACTGCAAAATGCCATTTGTGGCTAATGATCACCTGCAGTGTTACAGGGTTTTCACAAAGGTAAAGCAAAGAGAAAAGAGCCACTGCTGAATGAAAATGTCCTCAATTTTTGCTCTTAAATCTGTAGTTCTGTTGTTTGGTTTTTCCTAAGTGATCTGACAGTTCAAAAAAAGTCACAATTAGTTCAACTTGCTGAATGGGTTTTTTAATAGAATGCCTTGAGTTTTTAAACTGCTCTTCCCCTTGCAGATCTCAGCTGTTTGAGAATTGGGCCCTAAGTTGTCTTTTCACAATGATCTTGTTTTGTAAATTAATGATCTAAGTGATTTATTATTCAGTTCTTCCACTGCTACTTTATTTCTATTGATCTTTGTTTTTCTGTTTAATTTCTATAAATTACTGTACAGTTTCCCATAAGGTATAATTAAGCAGAATTGCTAAAGTTTTAATTATTGTGTATTATAGATGTTGAAAGCAACATTAGCACTTAGCTTTTAAAAATGTGATAGTATATTTATAAGAGAGCATTTATAAACACATTTACATATAGTTAAGATGAAAAAGGTATTGGAATTGTAGTCATTAGCATTTCTTCAAACATATGGCATACCAGCAGAGGCCATGGGCCATGCCTTCATTAACTGAACACTGTTTCATCAGTATCTCAGCTTCCTGCTGTGCCACCCTGTGGCGTACCCTTCTGTCCCTGAGGTTTCAGTGACAAGGGACAATATGTCCCCAAGGTGAAAATCTGGGAAATAACTCAGATTAGCCCTTAGAGGAGTTCTTATGATTATTTAATCACACTTAGGAAAGAAGTACACTGTACCACAAAAGAAAAACATTAAAAATCCTACCAGCTCACTATTTTCTATGTTGCAGGGTATGATGGTCTCTTCAGAGCACCATCAACATAACTGCAGTGGAACATGACAGCTTTATGCTACCTATTATAAGGCTGGCCTGTTTCAAATCTGTTCATATAATGGTCAAAGCCTACATTGGTACTAATAGGTATCATGGGTCAATTATCATTCATTGGCCATAATGTTCAGTGTTCAGGTGATGGATCAAGATTTAACTTCTCTTAACCATCGCACATTCAGCTATTTAATTTTATTTCCTAATAAAAAATGGAAAAGGAATAAAAATATTCATATAAATGTCATGGTCATATTTTATTTGTGCATTTCTCAGGTGTATAAAGATAAGTTAAT